CAGAACGAAGAGACAGAATTTAGAGACCACTGATTCAGCAGAGAGAGGAAGAAAGATAATCCAGTCTTCAGGGAATAAATACACCAAATATATCATCACTCCTTAATGTATTTTCACTTGTTTCTTAAAAACAAGAATGGCCAGACTAACACCAATCTCAAATGAACCTATAGAATTGTTTTTATGTGGACTAGCCTCTAGGAGTGAGAAGTTCAGACCTGTTATCTACTGTGAAGATGGAATAAAGATCTAAGGCAAAACAAAACACTAGTGCTAACTTAAGCTGCCATACTAAAACTGTATTAAATTTAGGTGCTCTGTTCCTGGCTGTACCAGAACAGATTGCAAGAGAACCTGAGAAGATGCTGGAACATCTGTAGGTGATGCTTGTTTCAAATAGGGCTCCCTATTATCTCAAACACAGAGCAGGGAAGGGAGTAATATCATTCCATATTTCAGTTTGTGCCCTAGGACTCTGGTTCATAGGGGTGTAAAGAAGGGTCCATACCAATATGTAATATAAAGCATGGCCTCTGGCCAAGAACAGAGAAGGTTAGTAATGTTCACTTCATCCATCTTCAGTTCCCCATTAAGTCTCAACTAGGAATAGGCATGAACTGGGAAAATGCGGTTCGGTTCATGGTTCGTGGCTGATTTTCAATCTGTTTCTAGTTCAAGGTTGCTGCTGCTTACATTTACAGCCCTTCATGTGCTGAGGCCCACTTACCCGAAGGCACCATATGTTGATTTGCTTACTTGCTTGTTTGTTTATTTATAATTTGGATTTATAAACTGCTCAATCCCTGAGTACTCAGGGCTCTGAACAATGAACAATGATAATAAAAACATATAATAAGAACATATAACTATACCAACTATTTAAAAGCTGATTAAAATGATTCGTGGTTTACAGTATTCAGATGGCGTTGGTACCTCCAATTACAACTGGGTCCTCGTCTTATAGAGGGATGAGTGCGAGCAAGGGGAGTAGGAGGGAGGGAGTGCCAGTCAAGGTGGTAACCATCACTGTCCTCAATCAAAGGTGTGGAAGAACAACTCTGCCTTGCAAACCCTGCGGAACTGCATAAGGTCCCACAGGGCGCAGATGTCATTTGGCAGAGAGGCTGGGGTCAGGATGGAAAAAGCCCTGGCCCTGGTTGAGGACAGCCAGGTGTCTTTTGGGCTGGGGATCACCAGTAAGTTGTTCTCACCAGAGTGTAACGCTCTTCAGGGGACATACCGGAGGAGGCAGTCCCGCAGGCACGCTAGTCCCAGGCCTCTTAAGGACTTGAAGGTCAGTACCAAAACCTTGAACCTGACCTGATACTCCAGTTTGGTGTAGTGGTTAAGAGTGGTAGACTCTAATCTGGAGGACCAGGTTTGATTTCCCGCTTCTCCACCTGAAAGCTGGGTGACCTTGGCTCAGTTACAGTTCTCTCAGAGCTCTCTCAGCCTCACCTACCTCACAGGGTGTCTGTTGTGTGGAGAGGAAGGGAAGGAGATTGTAAGTTGCTCTGAGACTCCTTCAGGCAGTGAAGGACAGGGTATAAAACCAACTCTTCTTCTTCCAACAGAAGCCAGTGCAGCTGACACAGCACAGGTTGAATATGTGCTGTCCATGGTGTTCCCATTAGGACTCGCACTACTGTGTTTTGTATCAGCTAGAGCTTCTGAATCAGTCTCCAGGGCAGGTCAGCATAAAGCGAGTTACAGCAATCTAGTCTGGAGGTAACTGTTGTGTGCATTATTGTAGCTAGGTTGTGGCAAGACAAGAAAGGGGCCAACTGCCACGCTTGGTGCAGATGGAAAAATACCAGCTTGGCAACGTTCGTAACCTGGGCCTCCAGGAGATATCCAGGACCACGCCCAAACTCCTGACAGTTTGTACCAGTAACAGTGGCACACCACTGAGGATGGAAATTGGCACCCCAGCCTTGAATCTCCCCCTACCACCACAGAACCTCTGTCTTAATTGAATTTAGTCTCAGCTGGCTCTTCTTCAATCATCCCACCACAGCCTCTAGACCCTTATTTTGCAGAGTGGTGTCTGGGCAGCCACCCATTAACAGATATAGCTGGGTGTCATCAGTGTACTGGTGACACACCAGCCCAAAACTCCATATCAGCTGGGTGACAGGGCACATGTAGCTGTTAAACATTGGGGAGAAGATAGCCCAATGTTACGGCATACCTACTTAAAAACCTCTCCTCTAGCACTACCCTGTCACTACCCTCTGTCCCCGACCAAGGAGAAATAAGGTGAGCCACTTCAGGGCTACCCCATGAATTCCTGTGTTGGTGAGGTGGTGGATCAGAAGGTCATAGCCAATGGGGTTGAACGCTGCAGTGAGATCGAATAATAATAGCAGCACTGACCCGCCTCAATCCAGCTGTCTGCAGAGATCGTCCATAAGAAGAGATAGGATTTATACCCCGCCCTTCACTACCCAAAGGGGTCTCAGAGCGGCTTACAAACTCCTGTCCCTTCCCCTCCCTACAACAGACCCCCTGTGAGGTAGGTGGGGCTGAGAGAGCTCTGACAGAAACTGCTCTTTTTCAAGAACAGCTCTTATCAGAACTACGGCTTGCCCAAGGTCATCCAGCCAGGTGCAAGCGGAGGAGTGGGGAATCAAACCCAGTTCTCCGGACTTGAATGGACCCAGTGCCAATGTGTCCTCCAGAAAACTCTGAAGCTGCTTGGCTACCACTGTCTCAATTGCCTTTCCCAGAAACAAGAGGTTCGAAACTGGGCACTAATTGGAAGGATCTGTAGTATCCAGAGATGGTTTTTTTCAAGAGTAGTACCACCACAGCCTCTTTCAACCCTGCTGAATAGACCCCTGACTCCAGGGACAGCTTGATCATGTCCACCCAGGGTCTTGTATTCTCTCATTGTTGGCTTTTACCAGCCATGAGGGACATATGGTTGGCCTAACAGCACACAGGATCCTGTTAACATTGGCATAGGAGAGCTGGCTGAAGTTGTCAATTACCAAATCCAGAGATGGCCAAGAGGCCTCTAGTTCTCTTACTGTATCAACATTGGCACTTAGGTCGTGGCAGAGCGACAAGACTTTATCCGCAAAGAAGCTCACAAATGCCGCACAGCTAATGGTTGAATTACTAATATTTCTGGTTCTCTCAGTGAGAGATGTTAAGAACCTAATCACCCTAAACAATCGCTATGGGCGAGAGCTAGCAGACGTGATGGGAGGCTGAATAAAATTGCAGCCTTCACTACCATCTCATAGGCTTTCATAAACGTCCTGTAAGATGCTCTTGTGGCTTCGTCATGAGCACACCACCAAATATGCTCAAGTCGTCTGAGCTCCTGTTTCATTCCCCTAAGGTCTATAGTGTACCAGAGGGATGACCTCGGTCGGGAACAGAAAGGACGTTGGGGGGGGGGGAGTACTTCATCAATATCTTCAGAGAGATGGGAACTCCAATCCTCTACCAGTGCATCTAATGAGCTACCAGAGAGCATTGGATCCCGCAGTGTGTTCCGGAACCCAATTGGGTCCATTAGTCTCTGTGGGCAAACATAAATTGGCTTGTTGCCTAGATGGGGGAGCCACAACACTTAGCTGGGCCTTCAGGACCAAAAACCTGACTATGGTACTTCCATCTTCATAATCAGATCCATCTCCACCCCCAAGATTAAATCCAGTGTGTGACTGGCTTGATGTGTGGGACCTGATACAATCTGGTAAAGTCCTAGTGCTGCCACAGACAACACCAGGTCTGATGCCTGCATGGGAGCTGCAGCTTCATCAGCATGGATGTTGACGTCCCCAAGAACTTATCAGCCTTGAGAACTCCAAGGCCCAGCCTGCTATGGCCTCCAGCAGGCTGTCCGCTGGTGTGCTAGGTGGTTGGTACACCAGACATACAGCCAAACTCCCCTCAGTGTCCCAGACTAGGCCAACACAAGCAATGCTGGCAATCGTTGGGATGGGGTGTGGCCTGAAGGAGTAATCCTCCTGGGCAAGTATTGTAACCCCTCCCCCCACACCTTTGTTCGGGACTGATGGAGGACCGAGTAACCTTGGGGGGGGGGGCAGTTCCTTCAAGGCGACTCTTTCGCCCTCCCTAGCCCAGGTCTCGGTCAGGCAAGCCAGGTCCACATCCTGTGCTGCACTATAATTATGCAGCGTTCTGGTCTTGTTATTAATGGACCTGGTGTTGCACAACATCAGTGCCAAAGAGGGGTTTAAGTTCCTAGCTCTCACAGCAATGTTCCTTGGGATGGGGCAAAGGTTGGAAGGAGACCAAGGATAATTGTATCTCCGTCTCCTTACATTCTCGCACCTTCTCCCACTGCCATACCTCCCTCTGCCCCTGCTTACTATGATCCCCAGCCCAGTGCTGACACTCCCAGAAATGCTAATAAACTCCATTTTAAAGCTCCCCCTCCCTGACCCACAGCAGCAACCCACAACACAGAATTACAGTTTAAAATACAGCACTTTACAACTCCACCCTAATCTAACAATAAACCCCTGATCCCCCAACTACAATTTATACCAGTCCCTCCCACAACCCACAGTACAAGTCCTATTTAATCCTGAGATTGGATCATTGTATTCTCTCTTTATCAAGCCACACGAGGACTACATTCTGCCCAACAGCCCCAGCTGAATACAAACCAGTGAGAACATCAGCCCAGTCTCAAGCTACCTTTGCAGTAGCCCCTACGCTGGGCTCTCCTCTTTTATTTTTAAGAGAACGTGCATGGAGCTCCCCCCCGCCCTGGTGGATTTTAATTAGAGTAATTAGTGACTTCATTGGGCTTTTATCCTGGGTGTTGTGGAAAATGTACATTTATGTGATCGGATTTTGAACTGCTAGATTCTGTGAGCTTTGCAAAGTCCCCTTGAGGGAGAAAGGGCAAGATGCAAATAGTCAAATAAATAAATGTGGTGGAAAACTGACCCAAAGTGACTGCAAACAGAGAATGGGGAAAAAATATCCAAGAGAGGACAGAGAAGTTTGAGTTATTCAGGCTTTTATTTTGTTGCTTCTTAGTCCACACAGTTGGTATAAAATCAGAAAGGCAAAGCAAAATAATCATATCATAATGTCTGGAGTCTTAGCATCAAAAGGCACCGCTTACACATCCTCAGTGCGGCTGCCAACAGAGTTCATTGCCAGACACACTTTTGGAAGCACAGAAAAGGATTACAGAGGAGCTGGGGGGATCCTACGGGGTCTATAAGCCTGGTGTACTTCCCTCCTGACGGTGAAGGGGGGGGGACCTTTTGGTTATAAATGCTTTATTAAAAAAATAATAGTAATAATAATAGCAACCTTCCTAAGTACAAAAGCAGTTATAGGCTGTATATATTACACATAATTATTTATCATTCCTATTCCTTGGTTTATTTATAACACTGTTATCTGACTTTCCAGTGAGTAAAGGTTAAATGGTTTAGCAATATAAGGAATGGTAAATAGATAGCACCATTTCACAGATTTGGTATTCAATTTCATAGAGAGGTGTGGGGGAAGGGTTCAGAGCTTACAACGTTTTATTCATTCTCTCTCTCTCTACTTTAGCTTATTCTGAAGTAAAGAAGGAAAATTGGTTTTTTTTTGGAAGATCAGTGTCTACCAATCCCAACAGGCATGGCTGAAGACAGCCATTTGTGATAGTTATTATAAACTGACTTGATTTTTTTTTTCTTCTCGTCCCACTCATTTTATTCTACCTCAGCCTTCGTGCTAGTCTTGGGTATTCTGGAACATGCTTAATTCAATGGGACTTAACGCATACATTAAGCAGCAGTGCATCCTCACTGGGAATATTTACTGATTATGACCTTTACATATCCTGCCCTTCTTCCAAGGAGTTTAGGGTGTCCAACGTGGAGATTATAACATGGGAGGAAGTGACAGTGTTACTATAGGATGCCACAATGAGACCATGGTCCACCTATCACACCACCTATTAGCTATCATGAAGCTTGGCTCCCTCACCCTTGTCTGAGGCATCATCTACATTCTGGTAAATATCCTTCCTCCTTCCACCTAACATTTGCATCTATCAGTTGGTTAACATGGGCTAATGAAGGCATCAGCCACCATCAATGCAGTAACAGTTTCTCCCGCCCATCTGAAGGACCAACCTGGTTCTTGATTTGTCCTCGGCTTGGGTTTGGGAGTGGAAACTTTGGAGGAGGGATCCATTTGCTTCCACAGCAGAAGGGGTCAAAAATTACACTCTAAATATACTGTTAGGAGTAAGAGAAATTAGGCACTTTCTTTAGGCTTAAACATGGTGGCAGGTCAAACAAACAAAAGCAAACAATACTATGTACATATATGTAAAAAGTGTTATAAATAGGTTTTTCTTAAAACCATAGATACTATATACATCTTCAATTAACACAGTAACCCTTCTTGCAGTTTGGTTTCTTTTTTTCCCTTGTTGGGTTTACTTTTTTTTTTTTGGTTAAATTCCATTTTTTCATTTTCTAATTCTTGGACACCCCCTTGTCCCAAATGCTCCATTCTCAGCACCTTCACTTGGCCTTTCATTCGCGCTTCCTCAAGATGACATAAATCACCCCACTGATCAGGGCCAGTGGGAGGGCCACCCAGGCTAGGATGTATGTGAAGCCGAAGGAGAGGTTCTCTGAAGGGTGATGCCAATCTGTGTGTCTCACTGTGAAGATGGCAGCACCACTCATCACACACAAGCCTGGGAAGCAGAGGAGACAGAATGTAAGCAAGAATTGCCATGAATGAAATGGAAGACCTATCCATAGGACCAAATTTACAACCATCCCTCTTCACCATCCCAGTCTCAGTGTCAATACACATATCAAGAAAACCTAGCTCAGCAGCCATACTCAAAAGACCAGATCAACAATATCTTGCATTTTTGCAACATCAGGACCTCAGTAGAAACACCATCTCTTAAAAGATGACTAAGTTTCCTTCAGGATCTACCTACCCATCAGTCCTGGTGCCTCATTCAGATTTCCTATGGTGTAGAAAACATGGGCCTCCTACAACATGCACTGGACTGTTGTGACAATTTTTAAAGAATGCAATTGTAATAAAAATGGTCTCCAGTCCTCTTGTTTGAATTGCAAAGATGTTAAAGATGCCCAGTAGAAGAATCTTGAACAGGCACTCTTTCCATATTGAAAATAACATTTCAGCAGGGATCACAATTTGGCTGGGCCCCTACTCCTTAACTTATTTAGCATAATGATTAATCCTGCCTTGCTGCTAGGCATTAAACCAGACTGCTGTCTCATTATTCCATCCTGCTGTCTCCACTGCCCTAAGCCCCAGTGATCAAAGCATGAACAGGTTGAGCCAGGCCCCCTGTGCAGTAATGCCACTAAGCTCAGCTTCTTTGTATTGTCAGATCAGCAATACCAGCTCTAGAACTGTGTGTGTGTGTGTGTTTTAAAGCCTAGCATCAGGGACTGCCAAGGATTACACAATGACTCTTCTATTCACTGCCCAGAACAAGGCCTTTTCGTTGATCCCAGCAATTCCACAACCTGCTCAATGTGGCACCAGAGGCTACTCTGTGCCAAAGCCCTGCGACGTGCCTCAGGACCACCTACACCTAACCACAGTGATATTTGAGCTGTTCTTTCCTTCTACACTGCCCTCTTTGTTCACAGAAAGTGCAGGAGTGGGAATGTGTTGAATTCACAAGCTGCTGATGCAGCTCCCATTCTCTCTAGGCCATGGAGAGGACACCCACAGTAACAGCAGAAGCCCACGCACTGGGAGCAAAAATGATTGTCTTCCAAATTGGGTGGGATGGCAAAGAGTGCTGTGGTCATACCATAAATCCTCTACAGTCACTAGATAAGGGAGCAAGGATTGTGTATCTGAAAAGACAGGCAGAAGAAAAGGTTCTGATTCTGTTCCTGCTTGGAGAAACCAGGAGGCTTCACTAGGCCTCAACACAGGTGTGGGATGAGATGAAATCCTCACCCTGTGAAGGAATTTAACACAAACAGCTGGTGTTCCTTATCCTGCAAAGAAAATTTAAAAACCGGTTTCCAAAGATGATATCTGTAGTTACTCCCATGACAGTACACCCACTGCAGAAGCAAAAGCCACAGAGTTCAACTCTGACTTCAGAATAAGAGCTCTAGAGTTCAGGTCTAGAAGGAGCACAGTGCAAAACTAAGACAGCCATCTACAAGAGACAGTCCCTGTTCCATTCCAACCTGAAGTTAATAGACTAGCTTTGAATACTATGTCAACTACTGTTCTCTATAAGATCATTTTTATCAACTTCCATTCTGTGTATATGTGTCTGGAAGCAAACAGAAAAAGATCTCAGAATTGCAAATCTTTCATTCAGATATGAATGGGGAGACACGAATATAAGGTAGAGATCTGACAATATTCAAGGTGGTTTCAATACTGTTTGCATGTCTCAAGCTTCCATTTAAGTAAGTGCCAATGACATAAGAACAGCCCTGCTGGATCAGACCAGTGGTCCATCGAGTCCCAGCATCCTGATGCACACAGTGGCTAACCAGTTCCTCCGGAGGTCCAGCAACAGGATATAGAGGCTGAGACCTTCCTCCGATGTTGCCTCCTGGCACTAGTATTCAGAGGTTTTTCTGCCTCTAAACATGGAAGTTCACTTCAGTCATCATGGCTAGTAGCCACTAACAGACCTATAACTCTGTAAAAGCAGTCAATACCTGAGCCGTCACTTCATCCTCTGGCAGGGAATTCCAGATTTTAATCACTTGCTGTGTAAACAATGGGTGATTTCCCACAAGCGCTGCTCCGTACTCACTCTTCTCTTTGGCCCGATAGTACGTGTCAATTTCACACAAGCTGTTGTGCAGCCGCATTTTGCCCAGCTTCGCGTGATTTCCCCCGCATCTACTCCATCCTGTTTTTTGAGGATTGAGTAGACGCGGGGAAAATCGTGTGAAGCTGTGGGGCAAAAGGGAGGAGTGAGTGTGAAGCAGCGCTTGTGGGAAATCACCCAATATCTTTGGCTATATTTGTGTCATGTAGATAAGCATGCAAAGAAATAGATGCTGAACTAATCCCCTCCCCTTTAAAAATATAAATAAATGATATTGATATAGTGGTTTGGTGCGCCAGTTTGGTGTAGTGTTTAAGTGCGCGGACTCTAATCTGGGAGAACCGGGTTTGATTCCCCACTCCTCCACTTGCACCTGGTTGGATGGCCTTGGGCAAGCCATAGCTCTGATAAGAGCTGTTCTTGAAAAAGGGCAGTTACTGTCAGAGCTCTCTCAGCCCCACCTACCTCACAGGGTGTCTGTTGTGGGGAGGGGAAAGGAATTTGTAAGACGCTCTGAGACACCTTTGGGTAGTGAAGGGCGGGGTATAAATCCAATCTCTTCCTCTTCTTCTTCTGAATATGTTGACTTCTCAAAGAACTGGCATCAACCAGCCATTCAAAAATTATTGCTTTGTTTGAGTGCCACCTACTTTTGCATAATAACTATATAAGTAAATACTAGAGATGCAAATCTTAATTTTATCCTGTTCCCTCAGAGCACCTTACATTGAATTTCAAGGGAATCTTTCATTCAAACACAGGCCAGATGGAGATCTACTTAGCTACAATATAAAACCATCATATACCATCAGACTATTATTAGATGGCCTTCAGTTTTAGTTATAGTTTACTACTTCTGGAAGACCCACACATACACATTGAGCAGAAATGTTACTTCACTCCGTATTCATGCCCTCCAGTGTTGCTAGTGAATTACACAGAAAAAACAGCAGAATTGATAAGGTGGCTCTTAGTGTCAAGCTGAGTCCCAGGGAAGGACGTTGCCTTTCCGGCAAGGTTTTCTTCAAATAAAATGTTAGGTTGATTGATGGGGTTGGAAAGGGCTCTCTCATGCCAAATCCCCCACAAGGACTCATGTCAAATCCTCCACCCAGCAGAAACAGAGTTTCCATTTGCTCCCACCAATTCTGCCAGAGGTGTCTAACAGGGAAAATACAGGCATCCTTAAGCTTCCTACAGAGGGTTCTGAATCTACACAAACCACAGCAATAATATGCAAGGTAACAAATATTAATGTTCCTGCAACTCTGACTTAAACAGCAATCTTTAAAAAAATAGAATTCAAATTTATTTGGCCACAGACTAACATGACCCAACTCTGGAGACTCCTGAACAGACTCTCTCTCTAGGAGCTGGGGTGAGGAATGTTGACCAATGGTTTGCTGGAATGCAGGAAGATGTGGACAGGCAACAGAGAAAGAGCTACAGACATAAAGCCTCCTCAGAAGTGGCTCCACAGTTCCTCTTAGAGCCTGGAGTTACAACAGACAAAGCCATAGAATAAGCTGATGAATGGTGGTCAGGGATGCTTCAGCCCAGAGATATTATTGTTTCAATGGTTGGCAAGGGAGCAACAAGTCAGGCCCAAAGTGTGAGACAGTGGTATGTTCTCCAGTAACTCTGTTATTTGAACTTAATCGTTCCAACTAATTTGTATGCTGCCTCAAAGTTCTAAATGACAGAAAGATGGAACACAAATTTTGAATTTTGAAAGCAGGTAAGTCTCTAATACGCTGAACGCCTTTAATGGAAGCTAACAGCCTTTCATGGTATCTTCAAGCATCAGAACCACCCTCAGGGTAATGTAATGAAGTAATATTGCTTAAGTGCTATTTTAACAAGGTATTTATAATTGATCCACAAGTGAGCATTTTATACCTGCTTTTTAGAACATTGCTAAGCTATTGATGTGCTGCAATTGAATTTTGAAAGTTTTGTATCACCTTATTATTGTTATTGCACAGGAAGAATGATGTGCATTTGGCTAGTTACAAATATTTGGAAGTGAACTTTGTTTTAATTTTGTTAAGCTACTGATGTACTGCAACTGAAATGTAAGAGGTTGGCCTTGAAGAAAATTTTGAAACGGGAGTGGAACTGGCTCCCCATCCCATCAACATCTCTTCGTTGATTACTATGAAGATTTACAACATTTCTCAATGAATTATTGCCAAGTTGGATTTTTAAATTAGTAACTTATTGTGTATTTATTTGAACTGATACTTTGTGATATGTGGATACCTCTAGCTGATTTCTCACTTAATCTTTCATGTCTGGCGTCAGCACTGTGAAATAAATCTCCATAATGATGTAAAGTTTTTTACATGCTACATCCTCCGGTGACATATGTCCTCCTCCCCACCTCTCTTAAGAGGGTGGCTTGCAGAACAAGGTAAATTCAGGAAGAGATTCCCTTTGGCTACAAAGCTCATCAACAAGCCTGATGTTATGCTGGAATGGGTTCAGAAAAGGCAGGAGACCGATGACTGTTACACTACATATGCTCTTTCCTCATTCTCACGCATACCTCACTGTAAAGGTAGGTGGGCTGGGAACAGGTTCTAAGCTCCAATAAGGAACACGCTTGGCATCATGACACAGCACAGCATCAGCCATAAGGCCTCCTGTCCTTCTTCCAAGCTAGAGTCCAGTTTTCATCTCCCACACAGTTCTTACAGACCAGAATCTGGCATTCCCTAAAACGACCAAGGAAGTCCAGGGCTGCTACACAGAGGCAGGCAATGAGAAATCATCTCTGTCCATCTCTTGCACTGAGAACCCTATGGGGTTGCCATAGGTCATCTGTGTCTTGACTACATTTTCACCACCAATGAAGCATGGTTAGTTAGTTAGCTCCATTTTCACCACCAATGAAGCATGGTTAGTTAGTTAGCTCCATTCTTTGGAACCTCTATTTAAATGATCTAAAAATTAGCAGTTGGTCCTAGGCCTGGTGGTAAGGATGGGGATGTTCGGACTTTTGGTCAGCGATGGGTTACTGGACCCACCTTAGCTCACCTTTCACTCACAAGTTCACAGTGTAGTATTTGGCAAGGGAAAAGAAATAGGGGAGGGGGAGGCAAGAGATGGAAAATGCATTTGATGCCCTAATACATGAAAAGGGTTGCCAATTAGATGAGAACAGCAGTTCCTCACCTAGGATCAAGGTTTGTCAAATGGAATCTTCAAAAGAGGAAGTAACTTAGACAATTACAGTATTCCGCAGCCCTGGATTCAGAAATGTACTGAGCATGCCCAGAGTTAGTGTTCCTGTTCTTTTAAGAGTAGGGATTCTATTTCAAACATACTCCCATCTAAGCAGCTGACTGTGCTATTTTAGACTGTTTTCCTTCATTAATCGATACTCCATCTCAGATGCTGTCTTTGCAGTACTGCAAACCACACCCTTCTAATACTTACCAGCAAGAATCTGGAAAATGCCAGTAAGGTAGAACCGTCCACCCTTAGTGAGAGTGAAGAGCTGGCAGAAGAACAGGAACAAAGACAAAACACTGAAGATGATGGACAGGATCATCATAGCTTGGACAGACTGCAGCCATTCTGGAAAAAGGGAATGAGACATTAGGGCAATATTGGTTAGAGACTAGGGATGGGCATGAACTGGGAAAATGGAGGTTTGTGAAGGTTCGTGGGGTCTCATGAGCCGGAAACCTTTCTATTTAGCAAACTGGTTTGAGGTTCGTGATGTGGTACAGCTTGCAAAAGCCATTTAAAGAGTTCCCTTTAAATGGCTTTTGCAAGGCACACCGCCATGGCGGCATGACTCAGCAAATGAACTTAGAAGGCATTTAAATCATGGTCTTTTTCAATGTCTTCTCCAAGCCCCACCGCCGGCGCCAGCATGTCTGTCGACATGAACCACATGAACCTCCCAAGGCAAGCTGGGAGGTTCGTGGGGGCGGGATGGCATGAACCGAGGTTCAGAAACCACAAACCACGCCGAGTTCGTGATGAATTTCAGTCTGCAATATGGTACATGCCCATCCCTACTAGAGACAGCATTGCAACAAGTGTTCAACCTGCTGTTGAACCTGAGCAAAACTCTCCTCAGTCAAAACAATAAAACTTCTCCAGCTAGTATGTTTTAAATTTATTGCAAATATCTGTATTCAGAAATGTCATACAAGGGTGAAGAAAATGAGCTGGAGGAGATTCCAGACATAGTGACATATGTCTCTCTCCTCTAAGGTAACCAAGAATCTCTGGAGATGTAACTACCTAAAGGGTTTCTTGCAAATTCAGGCCAAGTCACACAAGGATGAACTTGTATATGAACCCACACAACAGTTGTGCTCCTTTCTATGGTTCCATGTGCCTCAGGGCAGATACCATCAGACACAGTAATCAATATGCAGTATATAAAGAATTAAAAAAACAATTAAAACCCCCAATAAAACACAACAACATTCCTATGGTACAAATCATGGTCAAAGCCTCACAGATGCAGTCTATTTCAAGTTTGGCTCCTTAGACGATAATAGAGATCTGACCCGCTGAGGGGATGGAAGGCCCTAACTAAAGGCCTGGCAGAACAGCTCTGGCTTGCAGGACCCGTGGAACTGTAAAAGGTCCCACAAGGCCCTGATCTCATATGGGAGCTCATTCCACCAGGTAGGAAACAGGGCTGAAAAAGCCCTGGCCCTAGTCGAGGTAAGACAGATGTCCCTTGGGCCAGGGACCATCAGAAGATGTTGGTTGGCAGATTGTAAAGCCCTTCAGGGCTCATAGAGGGAGAGACGGTCTCACAGACATGCAGGGCCCTGGCCATATAGGGCTTTAAAGGTGAACACCAACACCTTGAAATGGATCTGGTAAATAGGCAGCCAGTGCAGTTCACACATGTCCGCACAGACAACAAAGTCAATATCTGTGCTGCTGCGTTCTGTACCAGCTGCAGCTTCCAGAGCAGAATCAAGGACAGCCCCCATGTAGAGAGAATTACAATAGCCCAATCTGGAAGTGACCAATGCATGGATCACTGTAGCCAGACCCCAGGGGTTGAGATATGGGGCCAACTGACTGATCTGCCTCAGATGGAAAAAGGCAGACCTGGCAGCGGTGATGACCTGGGCCTCTATAGTTAGTGAGGCATCCAGGAACACTCCCAGGCTCTTCACCTTCAATGCCGGCACCAGTAGGGCTCTGCCAAAGGTTGAGAGTCCAATGCCCAATGCCAATCCCTCACAACCCAGATACAGGACCTCCGTCTTTGATAGATTCAATTTCAATCTGTTCCGTTGTAACCATCCAGCCATGGCTTGTAACGCCCTGTCCAGATTTTCTGGGGCAGAGTCTGGATGGCCATCCAACAGTAGATAGAGTTCGGTGCCATTAGCATATTGGTGCCAATCCAGCCCATATCTCTGGATAATCTGAGAGTTCGGTGCCAATCCAGCCCATATCTCTGGATAATCTGGGTGAGGGGGTGCATGTAGAAAGAATCAACCCCTGCAGCACGCCACATTCCAGTAGGTGTCGCTGAGATAAATCCCCCCCAAGCATCACCCTCTGTCCCCGACCTTGAAGAAAGGAGGTCAGCCACTGTACCTTCATTGCCAAGCTGCTCAGACACTGCACCTTTATAGAGCACCTTCATTGTCAAGCTGCTTGCACTGCCACTATCCACTGAACAGGACTCCAAAGAGTGCCATCTCTGTCAGTTTTTTTTACTAAGGCTTATAAGGCAACTCTACTTCAGCAGGCCTTTTATTAAAAATGGTAAAACATTTAATTGCTGCTTTTTCAGGATTTTGTTCTATGATATTCAGTTTGTTAATGCATTTTTCGTTTTATGGCTCATACCTGTGATTCTGATGTGATTCAAAGCTGCTCTTGTACCAAATGGAAGGATGAAGTGTGGATTTTTTTTAAGCACAAGTAAGTTCAGTTTCTTCTTAAACCTTATTTGTGAAACAGCAGATCAGGATTTGTAATCTCTCCTTATATATAAAAGAGTTTTCGTGTCCCACTTTCTTCAACATTCCACACGCTCCCACAGCCTTTGGCTCCCTCAGCTGCCACTTTGAAGGTCTGCCAATCCCCTGGCTGCATTGCCTCACTGTGTTGCCTCAGCCCTGCCCACAGAGCCAGCAGCCAGTCTCACCCTCAGTCTGGAGGGAGCTGGCGAAGGGGATGGATGCTCTGCCGAGATAGCAGCAACCCCTGTACGGGGGAGCGGCAAGCAGAGGAAGCACTCACCTTTGCTGCCCCTCGCGGCCCCTCTCCCTCAGCCACAAGGCCGGCGCTTCGTCAGAGTGATAGCTCAGCGGGCTGAACTGCAGAGAAGGCTGCCCAGCGCCTTTCAAAGGCTCCCCCGCCTTCCTTCAGCAGCAACGCCAGGGAGGGTCTGGCCTAGAGGAAACGAGCTGAGGCTCCTGGAAAGCCGTACTCTCTCCTGAGGAAGACACTTCTCTTGGCTCCTGTGACTAACTGTCCCCTCAGTGGCTGTTGGTAGGCAACCAAGCTTGCTTCTGTCAGTAAAAAAAAAAGGATTCAGCATAACCCCCTCCCCTACCCACTGCCAGCTTGGCTACTTTTCTGTCAGAATAAACTTAAAACTGCTCTCTCTCCTTTTTGGCTCTACCATGGCTGGCTGGCTAATGAGGTGGGCCAGTGACAATCAAACCATTCTCTTCAACCCCCTGCTGTGCGGCTGACTTCCCCTAGGATTGCCATCCCCTGCTGAGTACTTTCACACACCCCCAATGCTGCCCTCCACAGGATCCACCCCCCAAATCTCCAGGTAATTCCCTAATCAGAGCTGGCAACTGTACTTTCTCCTCAGTGCCTGTTGCTAGGCAATCAGGTTCTGTCAGTAAAAGGCCCTTTCCACACCTATTCTAGCCTTTGGGAGAAAACTCATTGGGGCCGGTCCTGATAGGGTTGCCAACTCCAGGTGGGAAATTCATGGAGAGTTGAGGGATGGAGCCTGGAGAGGGTGAGGTTTGAGGAGGGGTGGGACCTCAGACAGGTACAATGCCATAGACTCCACCCTTTAAGCCAGCCAGTCTCTCATGGGGAACCATTGTTGCCAATATCCAGGTGGGGGCTGGAGATAACTCAGAATTACAACTGCTCTCTAGGAGGAAGGGGGAGGAGATGGAAAGCTGAAGCCAGGGGGCAGATAACGGTAGGTTGACGGTTGGCTGGGAGGGAGATAGGGTTGCCAATTCCAGGTTGGAAAATTCCTGGAGATTTCAGGGGTGCAGCCTGGAGAGGGTGAGGTCTGAGGAGGGTTGGGACCTCAGACAGGTACAATGCCATAGACTCCACCCTCCAAACCAGCCATTCCCTCATGGGGAACCATTGTTGCCAGTCTCCAGGGGAGGGATGGAGATCACGCAGAATTACAACTGCTGTTCAGATGGCAGAGATCAGTTCCCCTGGAGAAAATGGTGGACTCTGTGTCATTATACCCTGCTGCAGTTGCTACAGCAAATTGACACTAAGTGCCCAAGGCCGGGGCACTCTCCCAAAGCCTCTTTCTAGAGCTCATTGTATTTATTTCCACAACGGGCCTTATTCCTAGTAGTTGTATAATCTCCAACCAAACCTTACTAGTAATTCCAGAAACCCCACAGTGCTTTTAACCTAACACTACCAGAGGACAAATGACCTCAAGTTTACTTACTTGTTCATGATTTTTCTAGGATCTAGTAGTGAAGCTGCTATGAATAGAACTATTCATGTCAATGTCAGAGCTTGTCTGCCACTCTTGATATTTTCTATTTGCATGTTGTGATTATTCTTGCTCAAGACAATAAAACTAACCAACAGACTGACACTACACATTTTTCCTCTCTACAGTGAGCCCTGGCTTAATGTGTCAGATGTGAGACAGAATGAATAGAGAGTTGGCCCATTCAACTAAGCATTATTCTGGAAAAAAAATCTGCTTTGTGCTGGAAGACATTTTGGCATTCTTCTATTAATGTTTAGCATCTGCTGCTCTGGAGAGAATGGAGAAAACTATGCTTATATAACAGTAGGCTATAAAAACCTGGATGGCCCAAGCTAGCCCAATCTTGTCAGATCTCAGAAGCTAAGCAGGGTTGTCCCTGGTTAGTATTTGGATGGGAGACCACCTAGGATGTCAAGGATTGCTGTGAACAAGCAGTCAATGGCAAACCACCTCTGAACACCGCTTGCCTTGAAAAGCCTACTGGATCGCCATAGCTATTACTTGACAGCACTTTCCACCACCACTATCTATATATTTAATTCTCAACAGTCCCCTCTGTATACAGATACTTATTTCGGCAGATGAACATTTTTATTGAATTTTTTTAAAGAATAGAGAACAATGTTTTCATTATTTTACAAAATTTAAGGCAAAAATGATACCTTTTAAAAAATACTCACATACTGCAGATAATAAAACAGCAAAAACATATTAAAAACCAAACATAAAGTAATAATTATGACAACAAAACATAATTACTGTAAGGTAAGACTTGTCCTTGCTTGTACTTTATCTTTGGTTTTTTGATGAAAAAAGAACCGGCCAGCAGCCTGCCATCCCTGGTGGAGACCGTGTCGGC